GTAAATACACGCCATCCCATGATATCTGGGCGGCTGTGGCTCAGGAGGTTGAGCGGGTCGCCCGTTAATCGGAAGGTCGGCGGTTTAATCCCCGGCTCCTCCAGGGTGCATGTCGAAGTGTCCTTGGGCAAGATACTGAACCCTGAATAGTCCCTGGTATGAATGTGTGTGAATGTTAGTTTCTGGTTGAATGGTGAAAGCGATGTAGTGTAAAAGCGCTTTGAGTGGTCAAAAAGACTAGAAAGTTGCTCAGGGGCGTGCGACCTCTGACATATATAGCAATTTTAAGTTGCTTTGGATGAAAGCGTCAGCTAAATGAATGAATGTAAATGCATATCACATTGTGCTGTGGAGGCAGCCAATATGGTTGTGTTTTACTGTCAAGAAGAATTGTTGCTACAAAGAATTAAGAAATATTCTACCAAACACAAATTTTCTTACTTTTTGTGCATATATATGGACAGTTAACTCTGACTTTATTTAATTAAAGTCATATAACTTTATATATATAAATTTCAGCTTTGATTTCCTGTTTTATCCTCTTTACACTGGCTCCCACTATATTTTAGAACAGATTTGAGGATTTTACGGATTACATTTAAGGCCTCTTAATGGCCTTAATATAAAATCCTGACTGCTGATGTTAAGTTAAATGATCTGTTCTCCTTCTGAACTTTACCAACAGACTGCATTTACTGTTTCTATGAAGTTTTAGTTGAGTTCACTCACCTGCTGAAAGTCTTGATCTTATTCACTCAGTATGTAAAACACCTACATGTTCTTCCTCATATCTAAATGATGATTGTGACTATCTTTCACCAGATCATCTAACGAACTGAAGGATGACTCTTCTTTTTTACAGAAATACAATTAGAAACTCTAACACTGAAACACTAAACAATAATACATGTTGGTCCTGTAGAACTGAGAAAGAGGAAAACTGTTCTGTTTAACCAGTGAACTCTGAAATGTTTAATCCTGTTTTATCCTCTTTACACTGGCTCCCAGTATGTTTTAGAACAGATTTAAAAGTTTTACTGATTACTTTAAAGGCTCTTCATGATCCTCGGGTAAAAGTCTGTTTTCTGTTCCAGAGGCTGAAAACTAAAGTAAACAGAGTGTTTACTGACCGAGGACCTCAGGACGGATTTTGAAAAAACTATTAAATTAAATTAAACTCAGAAACCAGCTGGAATCATCGTTTCAGATCAAAGTACAGAAAATGTGACTGTTTGATAGCTGTATATTTCTGCTGAACACCTGAACACATTTTCCTGAAGTCACAGTTAATTATCTGAAACTGACGGTGTGTCAGATCATATTTCTGTCTCTCAGTATTTATGTTTTATATGAATATATGAAGTTTTAGTCGAGTTCACTCACCTGCTGAAAGTCTTGCTGTCTTCACACCGAGACGATTAAAGTGAAAGTAAAACAGGTTCAAGAAAAAAAGCAAGATGTCAGAACAGATCACATGATCAGATGTTTCTAGATATTTCAGAAAGGACAAAAGAAACGTGTTTTTACATGTGAATGAGTCTCAAAGGGAAAACTGTATTTAATGTTAATGTAACCACTTTGAGTGAAATTATCCAAATCACTATTATTATTATTATTATATCATCATCTGCAGCTTCTTATATGTAAAAATTATTGATTTTTTATACTCATCTCTAAACATATTTTAAATAGTGAGAAATGAATTTAGACCTCAAACTAATTTTCAACATGTTTATTTCTTTGATGTGGAGTTCAGCTTTTCTTCACACAGTATGTTTTTATATTAAGTCCTGTAGTATCTGAAGTGGGTGAGGCCTGAAAAACAACATGCCAGGTAAATAAATACCTACATGTTCTTCCTCATACCTGAAATAACGACTGATTATGTTTCATCAGCTGAAGAACTCAAACACATTTCCATGAAAGCTTGACCGACGGCTCAGAGGAAGATTCACATTAAAGTGGTGGAACATGAAGTCTGTGTGCAGGAGGTCTCTCTTTATCACAACAATAAAAACTCTCTCTCATTGTAAACACTGTGCAAATGTTGTTTTTCCTTCAGCTCCTGTAGTTGCACAGAGACAAAAACGTGTAAAAATTTGTTCTGGAGATGAACGTTGTTTCAAACATCGAACCAGGCAGGCAGATGATAAAGTGTCCATATCTTACATCATTATACATTATTAAATTCCTGACAGTCTGCCCATGACATATTTCAAATCATACAAGCACACAACAAACACATAAGAGGTGCAGATACTTTTAACAGAAACCTGCCAAAATCAGGAACATCTGGTCTCAAAATGATGCAGATAATCTAGTCCATGCATTTGCTACTTACTGCAATCCTTTATTATCAGGCTGCTTGAATAAGTCCGAATCTTCAGCTGATCCAGAACGCTGCAGCACGTCTTCTGACAGGAACCAGGAAAAGAAATCACATTTCTCCTGTTTTAGCTTCTCTGCACTGGCTGCCTGTAAAATCCAGATGTTACGTCCTAAGGTCTAGGGTTAACCTGGACGCAGCACGAGGTGAGACTCCCCACCCTTCCCACTCCCAAGCAAGGCCAGAAAAAAAGGGAACTACACATTAGCGGTTTTATTTTACTCAGACGAGCAGTGCCCAAAACACTCTATGTACCCTAAAACCTCCCTAAACCAAAACAAGTGTAAAGAAAAGACAAAGCTCTAGACCAGACTTCTAACACTAAAACATCAGGAAAAAAAGAGCCTATTTAAACAGAAACAAGCTTCTCACTCCTACTGATAGTGCTGATAGCAAAAACAATAAAGCTACAACAAAGAAGCAAACAAAATGGCTCAGGCCAACAAAACAAGGGTGTGAGACAATAGTCAGGATCACTGAGGTGCTGGTTAATCTGCTCACACAGACTAATATGCTCAATACACAGGTTTCTCTACCTAAGATTCAAATACACAGTACACAGGTTTTACGCCGGTGCATGTTGGGAATAGCAGAGTGAAGAGAGCAGAGTTCTGTCAGATGGGGATTAAAACAGCTGCTGTCATTAGGCGACCAATCAGAAGGCAGCAATCAGCTCCGCTGGACCAACCTGGGGTGCCCACCTGTTCTGCATTACCTGCATACACAGAACAGCTGACAGTGCAGGATGAGAAAGATGCAAATCACAAAATATGACGCCAGGGTCATAACACAGAATTTAAAGTTCTTCTTCTCACCTACAAAGCTCTTAATGGTCAGACACCATCTTATCTTAAAGAGCTCACATCTTCCCACGATGCACTGAGCTCTGCTCTCCCTCTGCATCTGTATGAAACCTCATCCTGTTCATGCATGTTACTGACTTTACTTCTTCCCTTTCAGAAAATGGAGGCATCCATATAGAAAAGAAGCTCAAACAAACTCCCTTGTAAGTGTTGTTATGGGTAAAGAATTGTGATCAGCTACAAAATGAAGCACAGAAAGAGCCCTCCGTCATTTACACTGGAGAAACAACAAGGGAGCGTAAGCAAGAGCCTTACCTTAGCTAGAAAAATGCACACTTTCATGCAAACTGCAACTCACACACACACACACACACACACACACACACGTTTGTTCCACTATTCCTGTGGGGACATCCCGCTGACATAATGCATAACCTGCTAATTGAACCGTAAAACAAGTCTTAGTAAAAAGCAGTCTCAACACGTGTGGACGTCACAGTGAGCTATAATTATTCTAATTCCTTTGAGATGATTTGACTAAAGTTAGAGTTTCTGAGATCCGCTGGACAAACAGACTGTGAAGGAAATGTGATCCTGCTAAGAGGTAGGCTAGTACTAGTGATCAACAGCAAACAGTAATATGCATGGAACTAAGTGTCAGAAAGTGGAAATGAAATGTTCAGACTTCAAAATGACCAGGCTGTGAACAAAACGTGTACTTTGTCTCCATCTTGTGACGTTTACGGGAAGAAAATGTGTCCATGCCGTCACGTGCTGTAGATTCAATATGCTGATGACATTATGCACATGTGAGCATGTTGTCCCTGAGACTGCATTAAGTAGGTTACAACATGAATCACATGTGACAGTGAAAGCAAACAATGTTTTCTTCTTGGGAACACTTCTCCATTTCTACACCCTTCATACACTGTTAGTGTTATACAGTCCTGCTGACTGACTCAACTCCTTTAAAGAACCGAATCTTTAGTGAAACTCTTAATTCTCCTAAAGAGCAAATAATTCAGACGCTACATCTCTGTCTGTATAACCCTCAGTGCTCCCTGTCTGTAACAGACCCCAGTAACAACATACTGTTACACCTTCAAATTATAATTATGATTCTGCTTGTTTTTAACAAATACAAAGTGGAAAAGTCAGAAAATATATTTTATTTTAAACTCTGAACTGCCTTTTTAGAGTTTATAATCATGCAGTCAAGTTGTAGGAGGGTAGAGTTGCACAGCTCTTCTCCAATACGCTTTATTCATCACATGTTTGTTTCTTTAGCCTTCTTTAAGGTGGAATGAGGTTGTTTCAGGTTTCTTTTAGACAGTCAGTTAATCCGTCATGTGACTTTACAAACTGACATTTGAACTAAATTAGTTTGGCTGTCCACAAATGTTGACGTTGAAAGAGTTTCAGTGAAGAATTAGTTGTTTTGAAAATAAATACATTTAGATTTAACTGTTATCTGCAATTTAATTTGTATTTTCAGTCACATGACTGTTTAAAATATTTATGTAAAGGAAAAAGGAATAAAAACTGCTGGTGGTTTAATTACACATCATGTGAAGCAGCTGATGTACATTTACTTTATTAAGAAATAGCTGAAGCAATAAAAAAAACATTAAACTAAATTGTACTGCTGGTATTTTCTTTATGTTGATCATAAACTGGTGATTTATCACGTATCATGTTTATTTATCATGTTACTGATGATGTACTCACTACAAACTGCAGTATAAAGAAGCACTGTAAGAATTAAGGTCCAAATTAAAATTGAAATCAATTTGAACAGTTTTTCTAAAAAGAAATAAAACAACAGATCCAAACCTGAAATAACTCAAAAGACTCAAAAGCATCAAAAAATATAACTGATGATGTTAAAAAGAGGAAAGTGAAACGCAGCATTTGGTACAGTGGATACAAACTACTGTACAATGTTGTTTGACTCCAGATGTTGATAACCAGGAGAACTTTGTCTCCTGATGACGTCATACAGTTTCAGCATTTTCTTGGAGATTAAACTTTATTTAAGAGGCAGCTCAACTAACACACTACTACTATTTCTTTTTGAAAAGCCACAAACTCCATGAAGAAGTAAAATGAATATCTAAAGCAGGAGTTCCAACCTTTAATACATTTTGACTGAACTGAACTAAAGTGAATCCTGAACTGAACAGAAGATCCAGAAATCTCTCAAAGTAAAACTGATGTTTGATGATGATTAAAGTTAAAGAATCCCACAACAGGAAGCAACGTGTTGGTATAGTGGATACTTGACATGTTATATTGTGGTCTGATTAAAAACCAGATGCTGCTGACCAGGCTAACATGTTAGAATCTGAACATTAGAATTGATTTGAACCTGGATGAAAGCTCAAGGCCGGATGATATAAAACAATTTCAGTATTTAGATATCATTTTAATCTGCTTTAACTTTTATTCATGCTGATTTTTCTAATGTGATCTAGACAGACATTGAGATCGGAGTAAAGTCTTAATTATCTTTCAAACTACAGAAACAGTCAGCAAAATTAATTTGTTGACCCTCAACACCAAATGAAATCTGCTTTAGATATAAAAGACGAGCAGATCAAGAATGTTTGGGTGTGAAGAGTGATGATGAGTTTAGAGTTTAATAAACCTCAAACTGTCTGAAAGTAAAAGTTGGAACAATAAACTTACATTCCTGAACGTCACAGAGAAATCTCAGTGTGACAGATTTTGATATCAGTGGTTTTAGCATCACCAGACCTGAAAATATATAAATATGGGAAGAGTTTCTCAGTGAAAGTGTCTCTGTGAGTGTAGATGTGAGTCGTGTCTTCAGGGTCGTAGAAGGACACCTCCCCCCTGTCATAGTCCAGCTGGACTCTGATCCTCTGGAGACTCTTCTTCACTCTGACAGTCTCACCATCTCCATCAGTGTATTTTCCACTGCGATGCCTTAAACACCAGAATCCATATTTTGGTGAGGAAAATGTCTGTCCCTTCCTGTCAACTGACTCTTTAGCCAAACCTACAGTCCAGTCAGGATGGTCTCCCACCTCCACCTCCCAGCTGTGTTTCCCTGAGCTGAAGCCCTCAGAGCCCAGAACAAGGGCATACTTAGTGTTTCTCTCTGGATTGTCAGGAAGCTGCTGGTTTGCGTCTCCACGTCTCACACTGGTCAGATCATCAGACAGATAGAGACAGCAGTTTGCAGTGTTTGGGTCCAGAATGACAGGACTGAAGTGGACCTTGTCCTTCATCTTCTCCCAGACTCTGAAGGACAGGTTGCCCAGGTGTTTGGCCACATCTATCAGCGCTCCTGAGAGCAGCTGTGGATCTGACAGTGAGCGCTGGACTCTGGCTCTGGTCTGAGTGGCTTTATAACTGCTGAGGAATGGCACGCTGGGTTTCTGCAGCTCTTCTTCAACAGCAGAGATCCTGTCTGACAGAGAGGACATCTGCTCCTGAATCTTCTTCATCTCTCTGCTCACAGTCTTCCCCTTCTGCTCCTCTTCCTCCCTCAGAGCTGCCAGTCTGGACTCCTCTTCCTCTTTCAGGAACTGGTGGAGCTTGTTGAACTCTGCTCTGATCTGCCTCTCTGTGGACAACAGCTGCTTCTTGGACTGTTGAATCACTTCATTGTATGTTTCCTCCACTTGTTTGTATTTGTCCCTCTTGTCCTGCAGAGACTCTAAGTCAGATTTCAGCTGCTCCTTCAGGTCCCGGACTGCTTGTTCTACAGGAACCACCTTGTGACTCTGGTGGAGAGAAAACTCACAGACAGGACACACAGCTCTCTGCTCGTCCTCACAGAACAATCTAGGCTCTTCTTTATGTTTACTACACACCTCCTCCACCTTCTTCTCTCCTTTTTCTGTCTCAGATGATCCAGTTTTCTGTCTCTCAGCAAAGGAGTCAGCCAGTTCCTTTAGTGGAAAGTTCACAAATAAATTATCCTTTGAGGATTTTCTTTTACAAATGGGACAGTTTTTGTTTCCAGCTTGTTCCCAGAATTTCTGCAGGCAGCTTGAACAGAAGCTGTGGTTGCAGCTCAGAGACACAGGATCTCTGAAAGTCTCTGAACACACGTGGCAGTTCAGGTAACTTTCAACAAGAGTTATTTTCTCAGCCATTTGATACTGAAGTTATTTTTCCACAGACTCACCGAGTGAACGTCTCTTCCCTTGATTGTTTCAAATACTCCAAACGTGTGTTTTCCAGCAGAGATCTCTCACCCTGTGATGGCGTCTCAGCTCTGTTCAACAATGTCCAAATCTGCTTTTAGTTTCACTTTCCTCTGTCACGGGCTGAATGAACAGCAGGAAGTGTTGCCATGTCATCTTCTCACCAGCAGATGGCGCAGTCAGGATGTCTGTCAGAGTCAGTACAGGACAGTTTCCATGTACAGGTGTCTGTAGGAAGACAAACACAAAATTGGGTAAAAAATGTGATCTGTAATTTTCTTTCTCTAAATAAAGAATTAAAATGTTCATAAAAAGCCAAACTGTGTTCATTGAATCCAGCTGAACTAAATATAGAACAAGCTGTTAACATGAAAGTAAAAGAAAGCTTTTGTTTAAATTTCATTTAATTTCAACTTGTTCTCATCCCTCAATAAGCCTCTGTAAAATTCACAGGGTAAATATTTTAAACATCACTTTTATTAGCCTTCTGTTTTTGTAAACATTGTGTTACAGTAAATGTACAAATAATAATCATGATGCAGAATCCAGAAAATAAAAGTCTTTCAGTCGAGGTCTATTTGTTTTACTTTCTGGCACATTTTCTCTCCCTTTCATTCATTCATTCATTCATTCATTCATTCATTCTCTTTACCCTCTTATCTACAGTAAGAATCACAAGACTTGAGTCATGTTAGTTAAATCCTGCATCAGCTGTATTTATCATTAGAAGATAAAAACTGTAAAATTAATACATGATCAACTCTTCACTTTAAAATTGTTATCCCAATATAAAATTTCACATCATTTGATGTGAATAATTTCCATGATAAATGTCAAAAAAAAAATTCTTTCAGGTTTAAAGACAAATTTTTGCTCCTGAGTTAAAGTTGAAGAATTTTTCTTTATGGTCAGAACAAACACTTGATGCCAAACAGTGGATCACTTCACAAATCTGTGGCAGAACATTCAAAACAATTATGATAAAATCTTTTTTCAACAAGCATGCATGAATAAAATCAAGTAAAATCTTTTTTCAGTCCTTTTTCCTCATCAAAATAAAAATCATAATAGAAAGTTCTGACTCGTTTGTGGTTCAAATTATTTAAATCAAACATTTATTGAACATTTGTTATATTGTTATTGAAGAAAATTTAATCGTGATAATTATCATTATTGTTTTATTGCCCAGCCCTACCTGGACATACAGTCTGTGTGACAAACAGTCTGTGCAGGATGTTTTTTAAAAGACAAATGTGAAACTGCTCTGAGGTGGTGCTGTTGATCAACACTCTCAGTCTATACAACCCTCAGTGCTGCCTGCACTGATACAGATCCTGACATTGCTCTGTATGTACTTCTGTTGTGTCTTATTTTATCCAGCAGTTGAGCAGCAGAAAATGAAATAATGAGAAGCAGAGAAAGTTGCAAAAATTCAGTATTAATCTGTATCTTGTACAGCTGAGGTCTGATGATGCCACAGCAGCACAAAATAAATGTCAGCCTCTTAGGAGCCAAAGAGACACATTTCTGAGGTATAATTCAATCTGAATAGTTTATTTTAGAGGATTTGACTTGATTTGGTTCCTGATGAAGCAACACTTTAACAGCAGTGATGCATTTCTTAGAGACCCTGGACAGTACGTCTGTAAATCTGAGATTCTGTGAAGGATATTTTTAACAATCAAAATCAAAATCAAAAACTGCAAAGACCAACAGCGAACAACAAAATGTGGCAATGTTTTCTTCTTGGGAACGCTTCTCCATTTCTACAGAAGCTGTGGTTGCAGCTCAGAGACACAGGATCTCTGAAAGTCTCTGAACACACGTGGCAGTTCAGGAAACTTTCAACAAGAGTTATTTTCTCAGCTATTTCTACTATTATCCAAATTAAGACTCACCCAGAAATTTCCTTCAGTTTGCTGCTGAAAATCCTTTCAGTGTGCCGTTAGAGATCTCTCAGACTGGACAGGCCTTGTGGTTTTGTTCAACAAAGTCAGAATTTGCTTTCAATTTCAACAAGCTTTCTCATCGGTTATTGATTAACGGTTCATGGATCAATGATATCTTTATAATCCCAGAGGAGCTATGTGTTGTACAGTGGTAGTAAATGCAGTCCTGTGTTTTTAATAGCAGCAGATCCAGCAGGATATTTTACAAATTGACCAGTGTCTTAAACACCAACAGGAAGGTGATGTGTATCTTAACAAATATTTTGACTGTGTTTAAATAAAAATATACTTTGTCACAGTAAAGAGCAGGAATCTGTTGGACACAGAACCAACCACAGACTCTGGAAAGTTGTCATTTACTGTGACGTGAAGGAACATTCAGGAGGTGTGTGAGCGGACATGTTTTTGTGATTAATTATGATTTGCTCATTTGAGCTTTAACATGTATCCACATGAGACTGAAACCTTCTTGCAGTTTATTGCTCCTGTTTGTTGCAGATTACAGCTCTCGCTTATCTCTGGACTTTGTGTGATGATTTATTAATAATATTTATTATATGCCTGTGCCTGACCTTTGGACACACAAAGCAATTAAAGCAACTGTCCAGAAAGTCAACAACTTAAAAAATGGTTTAGTGTCTGTTTCACTTTATTTATTTTCATTGCAAACCCCCTCAAAACTACAGAAAACACTAAAAACTGAACTCTGTATCTGTTATTAGCGTTTGTAAGACTCACCAGGATTGTGTGGATCATACTGATATATAAGAGCACTATCTGAACTGATGTTGATTTATTTTGCAGTGACTGTGTGAAATAGTACTTTCAGCTGCATTGATAACTGTTACTCACAGAGAAGTAACAGGCAGTAACTTGAAAGAAACTGACTTCCTTCCCAGCAGGGAAGAGACCACCTTCACCTTGGCTGCTGCAATGGCATCAATAACATTTGTAATTTTAGAACTGAAATTATCTACAAGCTCATGGACTGAGGCCCGTGAGAGGGCGTGTCGAGGAGAAAGCCTCAATAAATTTTTCACTAGTGTTCTCAGTGATATGCCGTTTTGTGATCACCTCTATTTTAACATTTGTGTGCACATAGATAGCACTCTCAAAGAAAACACAGGAATGATCAGAGAGAGCAACATCAGTCACCACAAGCTTGGAAATGTTCAGACCCTTGGAGATGACCAAGTCCAAAGTGGGCCCCTTATTGTGCGTGGGCTCCGTCACATGTTGGGTCAGTCCATAATTATCAAGAACACAACTCGGTTCTTTAGTCCCTCTGTCCTGGGGGTTGTCAACATGGATGTTAAAATCACCAACAATAACTACTGTTTTGACAGAAGCCCCGAATGTAACTCAACAACAGCATAAAAATATTTCCATAATGATATGCAGTCAGGCACACATAGACACAAAAGGGGCTTCAGCACCTGCCCTTTTTTCTGGGATGCTTGTTTGTGTTTTTTGTTGTTGTTTTTAAATAAATGAAGTATATTTATTCCTGTTTGCAACAGATTCCCTGTCAAACAAATATATTTATTGGGAAAAAAATCTAAATAGGCCATCAGGTCAGAAGATGAGACTTTGGAGTTCGATGCCCTCTCTCTCTCTCTCTCTCTCTCTCTCTCTCTCTCTCTCTCTCTCTCTCTCTCTCTCTCTCTCTCTAAGGCAATATCTCATGGCCTTACAACCTAATGTACTGATGGAGACACTACAGGTGAACACAGTAACATTTGTGTCTGATAACGTCATCACAATCGCCACATTTATATGCAAATTAGGCGTTAACTAATTAAAATGTGCTACTTTGCACACATTTGACAAGTCACTGCAGGTGAATGGGATAAAGAAAATAACTAAAGCATATCAACACAGAACTTCCCCAGTTAATGACTTCCATCAAGAGTATTTTCCTCTGAAATGTGCTGTGTAAATGTGCAGATTAGCTTGTTTTGGGTAATATAGAAGAAATCTATAGATGCAAATAGACCGAGGGTATTAGGCTTAAAACCAACTCCATCTAAATGTTTATTCTTGAAGTTTTATTTCCATTAGAGTAAAAGAAGACATGGAAGCAAAATAGACCAAAGTCTCAAAATTGACCACTCCATGAAAAAAGCGCCTTAAAGAGTAACTTCATAGTTTTGATGCTCGACTCCTCATCTAATAACTCTGCATTCTGTTGTATGCTGAGAGATCCTCATATAATACAGACAGCCCTCCCTCAAAAACTAAGTCCATGTCACCATCAGTAATTGTGTGTGTGTGTGTGTGTGTGCATGGTAAATGTAATATAATAGCAACAATAAAAGCATTTGATCAATACTTAGTGTATTCAGGCAATTCAGTATTCTGTTGCTTGGCTGTGTGAAGCTGAAGGTTATCTTTACTCATTTGGCATCTGGCTTGTGAAACTAAAAGTAAAAGTATTTAAATAACATTTATTTTAATTCTGCCTGCAGCCCAACGCCACAGTTTAGTGTGAAGATTTATGTGAAGTTTGTATTCCATAACACCAAAGAATGAATGAAAATAAACAAATTTAATGAAACTATGTCATTTATGCTAATATATATACTTGAAACTAGTAGCATAGAAAACATGCACATTGTGGCAAAGTTTCCTTTGCTGTCGCCTGCTGCTGTGATAAACCTGGTGAATACTAAAGAAGACCGTGGTCTCTGTCTGAACTGATCATTTTGTAGAAAAGTAAAAATGTTGTTGAGTTAATGTATTTGTCTTGTTTAAAAAATGCCCTTTTTTTCACTTGAGCCCCTGCCCACCAAAAAGTCTGTGCACTGTCCCTGTATGCAATAATCTTCATGACGCAGCCTTGTCGTCAAAGAGCGGAGGCTACTCGCAATAATGTTGCTGCATTATGTTTGAAGTTCACGCAACGCCTGCTGCAAAATTGTAATCAATAGCCTACATTTAAATCTAAATGTTGTCGGTCAGTGTCTAGTCATCGTATAAACACGAACGGTTGACAGTCGCCGCAAAGTAGTGAGAAAATATGATGCCACGTGACCGCGACGCAGACACCTGACGTTCAGGGTAGCGCTTGTAGTGTGCTGCCGTTTCTGTCCCCCCCGCTGTGAGACACTGCTGTTTCACTGTCTCCTCTAAAGCGGCTGTGAGCTGCACGTTAAAAGTGAACATTTGTGTGGAACCGTGGTGATGTTTCTGTCTGATCACAAGTGTTTTCAGTTTCGGTTTTCTTTCTCTGGTGAGGAGCAGTGCGCTCCTCTCATCGAGTAGGCTACAAGTCAAATC